GAACATCATGAAGGGGGTGGGCACCAAATATTTTGAGCCTTGAATATTTTTTTAAAAACCATGAACCAGACCACATTACAACCTTCAAAAGTCCTAATTGAAGCAAGGTTATTTTGAAAGCATACTTCAATGAGATAGTGTTCCTGACTCCCATGAATGTTCTAAATAGTTATGTTGGTATCATATGTTTTTCCTATACAAAAATAAATGGTGCTTTAACTCGTAAAATTTGTGCGATATCTTTCCAAATCTTCAAGACTTACATAACTGTTGCATTAGAATTTTCATTCTCATTGTAAACTTTTTCTAACTGCAAAACATTTATTTGATATCAAGGAGGCTCACATAAGCACCAGTGATGAGTTTATTCCTTTAAGGCCTGAAACTATGTTGAGTAATTGGTGGACCACGTCAAGAAAAATCATATCCAGGGGCATGTCAGCTGAAGACCTTAAGCACGGACATGTTGCTTCTCCCAGTTAATGCTTTCCCAACTTCTTTACCCTTTATTGGGGTAAAATTTGAAGACTTGGTTGTGCCAACTACAGTTAATCCGGGGAAATCACGTCGAGATTTGATGAATTCCTCTAAGAGTTTGAAGACACCAGAGCATGGTGAATGCCAGGTCTTTTGTAAAATCCTCTTGAGACGATTTCTCCTCATCAACCATATAGCTTGGGGCAATTTTAGAAGTGAAGTTATTCGCAAGAAATTGTCGTGCAACATGCAACTTATCAGCAGTGAACTTGGGGCATCCAAAATTAGTCCCAGGGGCAATCCAGATTTGTTGATATGTGATATGTATTGCACACATTATCAGAGGGTGGTGTTCCCAGTATCTCCAGCTAAGCATGACTTTTTTCCAGCTGAAACTTTGTTTGTGTTGTTATCCTTTCAATGGATTGTTGGTGATAGAAGACTGGACTTTGGGTTTTCTACCGAAAATACTTTCCTCTCCAGAGAGATTTAAGCCTTGTAAAAGGACTTTGCTCCAATGATGGCTTTTGTTTTCTATCCCCAGTAATGTTACCATCCTGTTGAGATTAGCCGAGTGTCGAGCTGTACTATGACGTCTTATCATCTTCAGTCTATCTCCCCTGTCTGTTTTGTCAGCATATACATGACATTCATTTATTCATTCACACTTGCATCATGCATGCACAGTTGTATTTGTTGATGTCATTGAGTTCGTACACCTTGGTTATGTCTATTCAAATAACATATTTGATCTTTCCAAATAGAGTGTCGACTTAAGCATAAAGTGTGCCTTCTTTCTAATTCCCCACTGAGTTAACTCTCGTGGAAGAATCTTGCTTTAGCTTTCCTTTTCCATCTCTGGATAGGATGAATCCCCATTTGAGTTATTTCCTCATTGGGTGGAGTCTTGTTTGACTGTTTTCTCTCCAGTTTATTCCTGGATTGAGCTTTGTCTCTTGTGAATGATACCCTGTGAATATCTCTAGGCTGTGAAACCTAGATGGAGAGTGCATTTATTTTGCAATGTAAATACTTGGTCTCCTCAGGAAGGATTTATTCATGGTTCCCCATTGAAAATGAACTTTATTCCCCAGCAGTGTCATCACAACCTTCTTCTGGAATATCGACATGACAACAAGCGACTGACTCTTTATTTGAGCAGTTTGATTATTTCTGATTTCTCTATGACAAATGGCGGTCTCTTCATGAGCAGTTTGTCCATCCCCGATGAAATTATTGGTTCTCACCTCCAGCAATATCTTCACGATATTTTATGGGTATCTTTTTGGGAAACAGCAAGCGGCAGTCTCTTCATGAGGCAACTTGTGTGTTATGGATACTCTTGACATGACAGCAAGCGACAGTCTCTTCACGAGGCAACTTGTGTGTTATGGATACTCTTGACATGACAGCAAGCGACAGTCTCTTCACGAGGCAACTTATGTGTTATGGATACTCTTGACAAACAGCAAGCGGCAGTCTCTTCATGGACAACTTGTATGTTATCAACCCTTTTGAAAAAACAGCAAGCGGCAGTCTCTTCATGAGCAACTTGTGTGTTATTGGTAATTTTGAAAAGAAACAGTAAGCGACAGTCTCTTCATGGACAACTTGTATGTTATCAACACTTTTAAAAACAGCAAGCGGCAGTCTCTTCATGGACAACTTGTATATTATCAACACTTTTTGAAAACGGCAAGTGGCAGCTTCTTCATGAGCAGCTTGTACGTTAGTATTTTTGGAAGACAGCAAGTGGCAGCTTATCTATTTGAGCAACTTGTGTGTTATTGTTCCCTTGAAGACAACAAGGGGCAAACTCTTCATGAGCAGCTTGTGTGCTTTGATATTCTTTGAAGATGGCAAGTGGCAGCTCTTCATGAGCAGCTTGTGAGTTATTGGCAATAAGTGGCGGACTCTTCATGAGTAGCTTGTGTGTTTTAATATTCTTTGAAGACAGCAAGTGGCAGCTCTTCATGAGCAGCTTGTGGGTTATAAGTAGCAAGTGGCGGCCCCTGTATTTGAGCAACTTGTATGTTATTAATATCTTTGAGAAACAGCAAGCGGCGGTCTCTTCATGAGCAACTTATATGTTATTAATATCTTTGAGAAACAGCAAGCGGCGGTCTCTTCATGAGCAACTTGTGTGTTATTGATACCTTTGAAAACAACAAGCGGCGGTCTCTTCATGAGCAACTTGTGTGTTATTGGTAATTTTGAAAAGAAACAACAAGCAGCGGTCTCTTCATAAGCAACTTGTACGTTATTAACACCTTTGAAAGGAAGCAAGTGGCGGCCTCTTTATTCGAGCAGCTTGTGTATCCCCAACAATAATGTCTACTCAGCAAATGGCATCCCTTCGGAAAAGTCCCGTGAGGAAGTTTGTTATTTTATCCTTTTCAAGCGATATCTTGGTTAAAGAAGAAATGTGTTACCGTTCTTGGTAAAATTCAGAAATCAGAGATGTTTATCTCCAGCCACAGTGCTGATGTCAATCATTTTGTTTTCCAGCCCAGTGCTGATGTCAATCATTTTCCAGTCCCAGTGCTGATGTCAATCATTTTCCAGTCTCAGTACTGATATCCATCATTTCTTTTTCCAGTCACAGTGCTGATGTAAATCATTTCTTTTTCCAGTCTTCGTACCGATGTAAATCATCTCTTTTCCAGTCTCAACACTGATGTAAATCATTCAAGAGTCTCTCATTTGAAGTCTATGACTTTGTTTCCCCAGTGGAGTTACAACCTCTTCCTCTGTATAATGTGCTTGGTTTCTCCAACATAGTCTGTCTCATATGGCGTCATTCCCCATAAAATTCAAAACATCACATTCATATCATATCGTAAACATAATCGCGGTATCTTAAGGCCAAAAATTGTCTATTATATATTTAAGTCCCTTCAATCTCGTCGAAATGAAGATCCCAATCTTCATATCTCCAGATAGAAGAAACTTAAATAGGGGCAGCTGTTGTACCCCAATTTTTGACCTAAGATCCCATTTTTATTTTTGCATTTTTAAAGATAAGTCAAGGTCACGAAATACAGTCGGTTTTAACCTCTCACCTTCGAGCTTTGACTATGTGAAGATTGTCAAGTGTTTTGAACATTTTTAGCCTATGTATCACTAATTTCTAATCGCATACAAAGGTGTATGTTCATGTTTTCTTTTGTTTCATGTGCAGAGACAGGTCTGAATCAAGAGCATCAGGTGTCGCGCCTCAATTAAGGTTTTGAGTCTCCCAAGCCAAAAGTACGGTTGATTATAGATTCTCGAAGACTGATTCATCAAGGCACAACTGTTGCACCCTAAATTTTTCCCCTAATATGTTTTAGTCGCACTTTCATATCATATTTTGTTATTTGGTCACAATCATTAGTAAATATCTTCATTCATCATATTTTGCATCATTAGTCGTATTTAAGTTTAATAATAAAAATATTTTGGTTTTATAGAAAAACTGTTAAAAGCGATTCAACAATGTGTGAAAAATTAGCGAGAAAAATATTTCAAGTTTTCACCTTTTACAGATCATTTTATGAATCTGCATCTCGCATAGATTATGACGGTATGCTCGCTTTATTTTTTCGATACAGTTCGAAGTCTCGTTTTTAACCGTAAAACGTCTATTTAGCCTGGTATTTTCATTATCATTTTATTCCTATTTTTACTTTTTTGAATATTTTTTCTTTAATCTTTGTGACATGTAGTTTATTTTAATGTGTTCATTTTATTTTTTCGGATAAATTTTCGTCCGTTTTTTATTGTTTTCGGTCATTTTAGCTCTTTATTTTTTATTCAAAAAATATATTTTAAATTGAATTAATTTTAATACTTTCAGTTTTTTATTTCATTTTTATCATTTAAGGGCGTTTTTGTCACAAAAATATATTGATTACACTATACTATGCTCTCATTGGCTGTTAGCAAAAGTGGTGGATTGATACAGAGAAAATGCAAATCAACTGATCATGATTGAATTTAAAATCAATTTTTTATTCTTCACTTGTCTATATAAGGCCTCTTAATTTTCTTTGTATACGGGACCAATAAAAACAAAAAGCAAAAAAGGCACTAGCAGTAAAACTCCACACCTTTGTTTGACTACCCCTTTCCACACTTCCTTCAATATTTCAACATTCAATAACCCTCAGTTACTTTCATTTCCGTGACACACACAACAAAAAAAAAAACTAAACTATTCAACCTTTTATTTTTTCCTCTCTCTCTCTCTCTCTAGATCGTTGTGCTGTGTTTCACTTCAGCTATGCAACAGCATAATGAGATGTGTATCCAATGGCGCTGCTGCTGACAATGGTTCACTCTCACAACAACTACACTGCTGGGACCCAACACGATCTCAAACCACTCCTCCGTGATTTTCTCGGCATGAAACCATCCCCTCAGTATTCATCCAGCCTCCATCGCCCCCAACGCTCACTGTTGGTTGATTATTGTGAGGAAAGGATTGACTCTGTTATGTTCTGAGTTTTTCATCACCATATACAACAAAAGCTTTAACTAGAATGGCAACTGAAGAGCATAATGTCGCGAAGGCTGAAGAATTTAAAGTCCTTGCTAACCAAGCATTCAAAGATCGGAAATTTTCCCACTCTATTGATCTATATACACAAGCAATTGAGCTAAACAGTCAAAGTGCAGTTTACTATGCTAATCGTGCCTTTGCCCACCTCCGGCTTGAGGAATACGGTAGCGCGATATTAGATGCTACAAAGGATATTGAAGTTGATCCTAAATATTCAAAGGGATATTACAGGCGAGGTGCTGCTCATCTTGGGTTGGGAAAATTCAAGGAAGCACTGAAAGATTTTCAGCAGGTCAAGAAAATGTGTCCAAATGATCCTGATGCAACAAAAAAATTGAAGGAATGTGAAAAATCAGTTATGAAACTGAAATTTGAAGAAGCTATTGCTGTACCAGGATCTGTGAAACACCAACAGCCGTCCTCAAACGCCGCCTCCATTGAAGGTCCTTCCGTCCAAACCGAAGCTTCGATCTCACGCATCATGGCCATCACCGATCTAATCGCAAAGCACTCTTTCGGTTCCATGTTCAACCTCCGCACTCAGTCGACCCTCTTCTTCCGTCGAACCACCACATAACCCGTCATCCCTTCATTTTCGGCCTTCACATACTGTTAACCTTTCAACCACAACCATCACTAATCCGTGATTCACTCCGCCCTTGTTCCGTTCAATACCGCAGCACACATTCATCATCAATTTACAATCCACCTTCTCCATCCTTCTGCCTTTGTTAGCAGCAAACCACTGCAAGCATTGTTTCTTCCGAAATAGTAGATCCTTGCGTCTGCGGTTTAATCTCTACTCCGCGTCACAGTCCGATTTGATCCTCCAAGCTTTGGCATAAAATATCCAACGCCACTACAACTCTACTGCTGTGCTCGACAGCTATTCTCATATAGCTCTGATGGTGGTTCTTGGCATTTTTGTGTGGACATTGCTTGAGTACACATTGCACCGTTTTCTTTTCCACATTAAAACAAAGTCCTACTGGTTATATCTCTCTGCGTTCACTTTTGTTTCCATAGCATGAAATTATAATTTGATTTGAGAAATGTTGGCAACACATTCTCTAACATGCTCTATTATTGTAATAAAATACATGTTGGTTTGCTTTGCCCAAAGACAGAGTGCGTCCCACCAAAGAAATAAAAATTCCTTATACTTTTAGATATTTAGATATTTAGGTATTCCCAAAGACACCCTTTCTATTTCTTTATACTTTTAGATATTTAGGTTAATGCAATTAAATTCCTTTTAATTAGTTATAAAAAAATAAAAAAAATATATTAGTAAATCTTATAATTAATTTAGTTTAATATTAATTTAGAATTCTTTAATTAGTTTAGATTTATTTTATAACTTTAGAATTTTATTTGATTTTATTTAAGTTAACTTTAGAATTTTATTTGTTTAGTTTTAGTTTAATAACTTTAGAATTTTATTTGATTTTATTTAAGTTAACTTTAGAATTTTATTTGTTTAGTTTTAGTTTAGTGACTTTAGAATTTTTATTTGATTTAGAATTAGTTTAATAAATTTATAATTTTTATTTGATTTAGAATTAGTTTAATAAGTTTATAATTTTTATTTAGTTTAATAACTTTAGAGTTTTTATTTGATTTAAGTTTAGTTTAGTAGTTTTAGAATTTTATTTGATTTAGATTTAGTTTAGTAACTTTGAAATTTTCATTTGTTTTAGATTTAATTTAGTAACCTTAGGATTTTAATTTAATCTAGATTTAACTTACTAAATTTTAAAGCTTTAGTTTAGTTTAGATCAAATTCAATAATACTAGATTTTTTTTTATAACCTTAGAATTTGTAATTAGTTTAGAATTATTTTAGTAAGTAATTTTAATTTTTTTTAGTTAGTTTAAATAACTTCTTTAGATAATTAGTTACATTCTCTTTTATTCTATTTAAATATCTTTGTCATTTTAATTTCTCGATGCTTTTGGTCATTAATCTGTTTCATTAGATTTGTTTTTCTTGTGAATTTTTGAATGCTTATACTTTGTGGATTCATCTTATTTTACTTGCTCGATTTAATCCAAGGGAAATGTTTTAACTCTGTTGACTTCATGTTATCAAACACATCTCATCCAATCATGCGAATACCCTCATTCATCTTTTGTTTGTTTATTGTTTTGCTAAACCTAAGATAATTTTCCCAAAGGATTCAATTTTCAAACTCACACCTTTTAAGTCAAAACTTCGACATTAGGTCGTCGTCTCTTCAAAATCTCATCCGCACCCATCTTTAACCAGACAAACCATTTTAACCAAACGAACCATTTTAATCAAACAAACAATTTTAACCAAAAACAGATATTTCAAAAGGTTCCTGCAGAGTACCGCAGATGCATTGGGTGCTAATACCTTCCCATTGTATAACCAACCCCCGAACTCTCGATCTCTTTCAAAAACGCATTGTATTTTTATTACTTTTAAGTATTATTTTACATTGCATATTTTAGGGTTTTATTTCGCTCTTTTCCCTTTTCCCTTAGAAATAATAAAGCGCGGTGGCGACTCTTGCTTTTGTGAGTCAAGTTAATTAATAGCTTGATCTCCGATTTTCACCGCTACACAATCCTTGCATATCCATGTAAGACCAGGAAAATATATCCACATATTAATGTAACAGCTTGATCAAACTTTCTTTGACGTTTTTCTCCAATGTTGCCCCTAGCTTGATCTCTTCGGGATCGTCCTTTGTGCCAAGGTTAATGGTCTCAATTGATTCTTGGTATTTCTGTATGTTGTCGGTTTTTTTCTCTATCTCCCTCGCCAATTATTCAGAGAGTTTAAGATCTTCATCATATTCCTCTTCCGCTTGATTGAGGGTGCATCAAAATTATATCGGATAGCAGCAGTAACGTTATCGGTGATTTTAGGCATGTATCTGCACATTTATTATGTTTTGGTGCAGTTTTAGCACGTGAATTTGGAAAATACATATGAGGAAAAGTTTTTCCATTTTTAAAATATAAGAGATAAATGCAAGATAAAGTAAAAGGATCTTAATTGAATGCGAAGTATAACTTTTTATTAATTTTGAATACTGTCTGAAGCAAATCGGGGGACCCTTACGAGCTACCCCTATGCCTCGGGCTTGACATAGGTTCTTTCAAAAATAAGAAAAAAATATTTTGGAAAGAAAAACATCTTTGGAATCTCCACGGCTATCCAATTCTTGAGCTATTCGTCTGGAACACATTTACGGATGAAGTATGATGCTCTCTTTGTGTTGCTCTTGTTAGATATCATCGCCACTTGCCCGTCATGCTCTGTTCCTTTGTTGATGAAGGTTTCTTGGATAGAAGGAAACTGCGCATTTCCTTTTAGGGTAGCCTTTGATGATTCATAGCCCAAACCAAAATGATTCTTCTTCTCAGTGTAGCAACTCGATTTAAAATCAAGAGTCGCCACTATTAGTTTTTATCCTAGAGAAGAGAATCTAATAGAAAACCCTAATTCGCAGACAGAGATTCTAGGTTTTGGATTCAATTAGATGAAAGGAATGTGTTAGGCACCTTCCATCTACCTTATTCACAAGGATACTAGGCTCTAGGTTTAGGTTTGGGGTAAACTGGATTTTAAGTTTTAATTAGAAAGAGGGTTTAAATTTTTTATAGGGGAACTCGCTATGATTTTTGATTGTATGCCTACGTATCCTCGTAAGAGGAATCAGAGTCCCAATTCGTAGTTCGTATAGGGTTGGTGTTTTTTAGGGGTTTGCAAACATATTTTGAATCACCTCGCACTTGGCCGGGAGTAGTGATTGCGGAGATTTTGACTGAATGCGCAGTAAGTCAAAACTAGTTTGAAACCCTTTTGCAAAAAACAATTGATTAGTTTAGTTTATTGCGAAAAAATAGTTTGATGATTTGTTTGTATTTTTTAATCGTATTATTTGAAAAGATCTTGATTAATGCATGATTAGAAAAGATTTAATGAAAATAATATATAAAGTAATATATGCAATTTTGATATAAAATAATTTATTTGATCATATAATAGTAATATTTAAATAGTAAATATCAGAATAATAAATAGAAAATAAATATTGGTAATAATAATAATAGAAAATATAATAATAATAATAATAATAATAATAATAATAAATCACTATTTGATAATAATAATAATAATAATAATAACTATAAATAAATAATATATATGTATATTTATAAAAAATAGAAACAATAAAATAATTGAATTATAAAAGAAAATAAATAAATTAACTCAGGGGGGGTGCAGTTTCTAATTGGCAAGTAAAACAGAGGGTGTTAAAATTAATGGGAATTAGGCCTAGACATGAGTCCAGTCAGGGGGGTGCAAATTGGTGTGTTGTTTTAATAATATAGCAAAGGGGGGGGGGTGAAAAGGACTGGGCTCAGGCCCAACGAGTTTGGAAGGATATCCGTTTGATTGCGTGCGGGAGGTAAACACGCTACTACGGTGCAGACTTGGCCTCTGGCTGTCTGATCAAGATCAGATGGATGGAATTGAAGGAGCATAGCAACTAAAGTATACGCGCGGGTATGGGATAACTACAGATTATACTTTTTTGTTTTTTATTTCGTTTGCATATTTTCTTTACAGTAACAACATCTTCATCTTTTCTTTCTCTCTCTCTCTCACGCTAGCAACACGACCCCTTTATCTTCTTCTTCCTATCAACCCTAAAGCCACAACCCCCCACCACGGCGGTTCCAGAAATAACACGATCTACCCCCCACGAACCCCCTAGCCCTACATCAATCAAACAAAACTGAAAAGAGTGAATTACCCCTTTCGAATCTCCAAGTGTCCGGCTCTAATTGAAGGCAACGATGGTTGGTTAAAGGAGGCCATCAACGACGGTTGTGGTTTCCGATAATGAAACCCCAACCGTTCTTCCCTTCTTCAGCGATGCTCGCTTGCAAGGGCTTCAGCTTCCTTGTAGAATTCAAGCTTCTCTCCGTTCACACTTCGCAGTATCTTCCTGTTCTTTTTTAGTCAACCAAAAATTCCCCCCCCCCCTGTCTCTTTTTTCTTCTTTGTATTTATAGGTTTTTTCAATTAGGTTTAGATTTTAGGTTTTTGTAATTTGTTAGCGTTACAGATTAGATTAGCAAATATTTAGGGTTATTAGAGATTTAGGGATTTGAAATTCATTGTAATTGATTCTGTATAGTTGTAATTGATACAGTTTCTGTAACCTAGTGATTTGATTTAAATTATTTCTGAGATTTGTTTTTGTATGCTTGACTGTAATTTTCTAGATTTGATTTTATTCAGTTTTGGAGATTTGATTTAGTTGATTTTATGTTAACTGCAAAAAGATTTAATTTAAAAAAAATTGATTTGTACAATGTCTGTATATTTAAGAAAGCGTGCGCATACTTTGGTTTAATTGCTACAGTATCTATCTTCTCAAACATGGGCCCTGCGCTATTCTTTGTTTTATCCAACTTGTTGAATAAATGGATCTTGGGCCTATCAAGATTCAGCCCAGCGTGTTACTGTCTCTTACATTGTAAACAAAATTATAATTTTGATACGGTACTGGGTCCAATCTTTTGGACTTC